TGCACGCAAGCGTTTCCCTTCTATGCGTCTGGCACTATACTTCACGTACTCATTGAATGTCATGAATGCAGTGGGATCCCCACGTGGTTTCAAATCATTGGATATTCCCCTTTGGGATAAAAAATAAAACAAGACAATAAAAGCTAATATGTATTATCTTAATGAATATTGTTCAACAACTTACATCTTACTACAAAATTTTGAAGTTGTGTAACTCATTTCAGTTGGTTGTGGATTAAATTAAGTAATTTTGTTTAATAAGTTATCCACAAATTACGATAACATGTGATGAGGGCAAACGATGTGTGTACTAAGTTAATTTGGCGCCAGCTAGAACAATGCATTACTAACAACTGACCCACTGGCGTATAATTTAAAATGAAATATTAGTAATAACGTACAATGGAATTTAGAAAAAATTTACAATATTTTCTTTTTACCAAAAAGCACCAAAATTTAGGAGTATACTACACTTTAAGCTTGACTTTATGTAGGCGAAATATCTCAGGTGAAAATCACCAAAAATCAACATTGTTTCATATTGATAACAATACTATTCATAAGAAATCATGCAATGAACATCATCTCAACAAACAAGAAATCACGAATTGGTAGAAGTTAGAATTCATGGAATGGCCATTGAATCGGATCCCAGTGGCTGAATGACATACGAGCTAGCTTGCCTTGTAACCAGAAGGTCCTGGGTTCGAACCTTGGTGGTGGGTGCGTACTGCCGATGATTCCCAAACTAGTGGGATAAAACAGCTGTCCAGTACTCCTTGCTGATTTTCCAATGGTTCTCTAACTGATATCAATTCGTGGGCAAACTAGAAAGAAAATAGGCGTTATTTTTTTTATAAATTCGATAATGCATTTATAAAGTAATTATAAGGTAACGTTTTTGATAAACTCACCCTAATTTCTTCTTCCATCTAAATTTTTATAAGGTGTTCATTTAGAGACACATGGGATAGAGTGATTGAGAAGGAAGATTTTTATTTTAAATGTTCGATAATGAAGAGAATAGTTAGATACCTGTGAGCATTCCTAATTAACAGCAGAGAAAGAGAGAGAGAGAAAAAATTAATAATTTCACTGGAGATAAACAGAGCAATCAGGTCATCTATCTGTTGGTGACCTAATTTTACAGATTATCACCATTTTACAGTTAAGTCATTTGGAAAAAGTACCATTAAACTGTCCTCCACCCTGGTATTAAATTATAAATTGGAACATAACTGGAAGATTTCATGTGGCATCATAAAAAAACCATTTTTAAGCTACTGCATTGATAATCTTTCTCTATTGGATGAAACCATCTCTTTCCTTATCGAATAAAAACTTATTGTAATGTAAAAAGAGACATATTTTGTTTGAGATGCAGTCAAGAAGGCGTTGGGGCTGGGGTGGGGCTTTTCCAGATAACTTAATCGTAAAACGGTGTTAATCTGTGAAATTAGGTCATCAACAGATGACCTAATTGCTCTGTTTATCTCCAGTGAAATTAATTTTGTTTTCTCTGCTATTGTTAATTAGGAATATTCACAGGTTTTTAACTGTTTTCATTATTGAATGTTTGAGAAAAGCCTTTGTATTTTCTACTCCCAGTCACTCATTCTCTCTCTCCTCATCCCATTTGTCTCTAAATGAATACCTTATAAAAAGTGAAGTGAAAGGAGAAATAAGGGTGAATCTGAAGTACATAGTAATTATTTCATCGATACGTTATTGAATTTATGAGACAGAGTTCCTTTTCTTGTGTGTTGAGATGAAGTGAAGTACAGGATTTCTTACGAATACTGATGAAATGCGCATGAACTTCCTCGTATTGTTGTCATAATTAAACAGTGTTCGTTTTTCCTGATTTTTATCTGGGACATTTCACTAACATGTTTTTCAACAACGAATAAAAAATAGAGGCTCGTCATCAGTGTGCACTGTTAGTTGAGGCCACATAGTTGGAGGCAATTTGTGGGGGGCAATAGACCTAGATTTCATGCTTACTGACACTCACTGTGGTCACAGTAAACCGATGCATTCATTGAGATCCTACTTCCATAGCCCTAGAAATAATGCCTTGCAGAAAACGAACTCTAGGTTTTCACTGTGGGATTCTCAGATATATATATATTTTGATCTAAGAAACAGGTTATGAAGTTGTGATATATATATATATATCAGGAGTTCAAATCCTGGAAGTAGCATCACTTCCATGAAGATTACAGATAGGCCTTGCTGATAAGACAAATGCGATACATATTCGTGCATTAGTAACAAGATAATGTGGAATAAATATGTATATGTGTGTGAAGTCCGGAAGGCAGCAGGGCCAGGCAGAATTCCCCTACCCCGAAAAACTGGAAACAGACCCAGATGTGCTCACGGCATTTATGCAAAAAGTTTGAAAGGAAGGAAAGGTGTCTGCTGACTGGAAATAAGGTTACCCTGTCAAGATACTAAAGAAGGACGAATTACGCCTCACTCTGCAAAAACTAGTTTGGAATCATGCTCTTTTCCACGCCAAATAAACTGCTAAGTCGCGTCATCTTAGACAGAATGAAAGATGCACTAGGTGCACAACTCCACCAGCCCAGAACAAGCTGGATTCAGGAAAGACAAATCATGTGCTGATCAAATTGAAAACTGTACGCATTATCATCGAACAAAGCATAGAATGTCAGTCAAACCCCTCCTTACCTCAACTTCATCGACTTTGTAAAGGCATTTCAGTCCAACATAATCAATCACAGGGGAAATGAAAAATTAACCTAAAAACAGACAAACACAATAATAACTCATTCTATTTACTCAATAAATACTTTATAAAATTTTTCAAGTTGAAAAGGAAAGCTGTTACTAGAAAATTAAAATGATATTTATAAGCCTTTTATAAGTTCTCCTACTTTTATTTAATTTTAAATTAGATATCATAAAGTTACGTGATATAAGTTAAACTTTTTCATCATGTAGATTTATTAGACTAGCTTGCGTTTCTGTTGTATCAAACACCCTGAATTAGTGTTAATTATATGTATGTTTTAATTTAACCTCTATAGAGTTTCCCGGGAAATCTATTTTGATTGTTGGATGTAATGCGAAAACTATTTCCTCTGACAAGATCTTGACCACATTTCTTTTATTTTGATGTGACTGTCACCTAATATCATCCACAGTCAACATTACTAAATATTTTGTGTTCTTTGAAGTTTCTGTAGTCAATGGTTTGATTTCCAGTAGTGGGTTCCCTAGCCGAGGTGAAAAATATCCCTTCCTCCCCGGGCTTAGAACCAACTAGCTAGCAAACTAGTGAACTATGAAACTAGGTGGAGAAAGTGAAGAAGGATCAGACACACGCTGATCTGACTGTTGAGTGACTTCACGCGACATGAAAATCCTCAAAGGGAACTCGAATGCGAACGATTAGTTAGGTGTCAGTTCGAGGATGACATGGAGGAGATCGTGTGAAGTGGAGATGAAAGCTCGTGGTCACTCGGAGAGGCAGCTAAAGAGGACTGAAGGGAACAGGATGAATTGGCGATATGCTGCTGAAGCCCTAAGTTCCAAGGGATTAGTAACAATAACCTTAATAAATTTATTGACTTATATTTTATTTTACAAGTCTGGAAATTAATAAATTGTATAAGCCTAACAAGGTTCGCAATTGCGTGATCGCTGAAATGTTAGGAGTGTAGTTTTTAGAAATTATGAAAAATGGTAAAACAAATCACTCTTGACAACAACAAGATGTCCATTCATTGTTAAACTTCTAAATTCATCAACCTCAATGTCACCTCTAACATAACACTTAGATGTGATGAAATGTTTTCAAGATTATTCGGGCAAAAAATACATTTTTATTTCTATTGTGCTTATATTTCCAAGTATTTTTCAACACATCTATAAACTGTGATTCTTTTCACAGACCTATCCTCTACGAGTACTGTGTCATTATTATTAATATTGTCTCCTTTAGTTCCTAGAGGAACACAGCGCTTCAGCCACACGTTTCCATTGAGTTCGGTTATCCGCCGAAGTTTTCACCTGACCGCACATCTGCCCACATTTTTCATCTCCTCTTCGCATGACCTCTTCCATGTCACCCTTGCACTGACGACCAACCAACTCGCCGCTTCCCATTCGGCGTTCCACTCGAGAGAGAGAGAACCTGGCGTGTGATGTCACTTGATGTTTTTATAGGGAGTATGGTCAATCCACCAACTGCATTTCTTCCTGCATATTTGTTGCACAACTGGTTCCTGGTTGTGTATTATGTCAACTGCCAGCAAATTATTTGTTCCATTATGGGGTAGCAGTGATGTTCTATTTAGTTGTACTGAAAATCTGTCCACGCACTTTTATTTTACCATGGACGTTTGGTGACAAAATAAAATAATCAATGAGATAGATATGTTGTTCACGTAATCACTTTGTTATTCTGCACAGGGCTAAGCAGTTAAATATATATATATATATATATATATAGGTGAAACTGTCTAAATACTGGTTCAAATATGATCCAATAGTTTTCAAAAAAAAAGACTTAATGATGTGTTAAATATATCTATCTATATCCGGGTCGTTTTTAAATCTACCACACATTTTTAAGGTTGCTTATATACATATATCCATGTATTATTCATCTGAACTTTGATTTTCTCGTCGTTTCATTGGATATTGACATGTTGGCTCCTGGTAAGTGCCCCAATTAGTTTACTGGATAATGCTTCGGCGTTTGAAACGATGAGTTCTGGGTTTGAGTCTCTTTAGTGAGAACAGCATCACTTACTGGGGAATGCAGATACATCCAGATGACGAGTCTCAATTAGGACGAAACAGCATCAAACTGTTTTCCACTTCTAGTCATTATTCACCAAATGACTTGACTGATAAGAATCTTTAGAATAATAGTATATTATTGATTCAGAGTAATATAAATGTATTTTTTTAAAAATTCTTCTAACCTCATGTTTCTTTCTCTCCTTTTTCTTCTTCAACTCTAGGTAACATCTGTATGGTTAACAGTAGCCTTTGCAGCAGATCGTTATTTAATGATATGTCATCCATTCTGGGCGAAACGTTGGTGTACTATAAAACTTGCCAAAATTGTAATTATTATTATTTATGTATTCAGTGTGATCTATAGCATTCCACGTTATTTTGAATATCAAATATTTGAAGTACAACTACCCTTGAATGCAATAGATTGGAATTTAGATGATAATAATAATGTTGATAATGTTGATCAAATTAATGAGAATTTAAGAAATGCCAATGTTGTCTTTGTACAGAATTTATCTACTTCATTTAATAGCACTTCTACTTCTACTGCTCCTCTTCCTGATATTTCCCCTGACATGAATATCACTAACCTTTATGGTAATTTCAGTTATTCTATGAAAACTATACCTGTTATCTGGTATCGACTATCAGAATTCGGTCAGTCGGAACAATTTCGCAAGGTTTATCATTTATGGTCATGGGTGCTACTAGTTGTCGGTATACCATTTGTATCTATTGCTATTATGAATACATTTCTAATATTGGAAGTACGCAAGTCTAGTCGAAAGTGTGTTGATCAAATAAAGCAAAGAGAATTTCGACGACAAGATACAAATATTATGCTTATAGGTGTAATTGTGATATTTTTTATATGTCAGGTAAGCAAGCATTAAATATTACTTAATATTATTTTTATTCATTATAATAAAGGTGCTTTTTTGTATTTCCTAATGAATGAAAAACAAAACGATATTGTTGTGTTTACTGACGTTTCGCTATTTAATGCTGCTAATAGCTTTATCAAAGTAGTATTAAACCAGAATTTACAAAATCTCAGCTTATATACATTAACTTAATCCTCGTTTTTCAGAATGAGGTCATTTTTATTTTGTCAATTTGGCCAATTGGTAAAGATAACAAAACTAAGTGTAGATTGTAAGAATGGATAAGTGTATCAAATTATAAAAGCAGCGTGCGTTTATAAAATGAAATTGCTTGTCACATTCATGTTGATTTTGTCATTTTATGAGGAGGGGTGTGTGTGTTGTAACCAGGTCAAAATCTTTTTTAATCCATCATTCCTATTCAGACAGTTTGGATTCCATTTGATATGGAGTGCTTCTGATAAAGTGAGAAGTTCTTTGTGACTTCCGAAATTATATGGACAGGGTTGTTTCGCAGTGTGTCTGATGTTTTGAAGAAAACTCTGATGTTGAGCTTATTGAGTACTCTTCTGTTATTGTCTGGTGTCTCGTCTCTGTACAGAATGACAACTGTTGAGGCGCATATTTTTGGAGTGCGTTTTCGACCACACTTAATGTCAGTGTTGATTTTGTTGATGAAGTTCTTTGGGTAGTTGTTTTGCTTGAGAATCTCAGTAATGTTTGATATTTCTTCTTCTTTTTCTTTCTCATCCGTTATCAAAGAGTTTGCTTGTCTAAGAAGACTTGAAACAACTGATACCTTTGCGCTGATGGGGTGTGATGATCCGAAGTCTAAATATTTGTTGGAGTGGGTTTTCTTCTTGAATACAGATATACTAAGATGTCCGTCTTCTCTCCTCCTAACTAGGCAGACTAGATAGAAGTGGTAGTTCATCGACGTCTGATTCTGCTTCGGAAATAAACTGGATTCTGGGAGATAGACTGTTTATTTTCTCCGAGAATGAACTGTGTAGATGTCGTTTTAGTACTACAAAAGTGTCATCTACATATCTTAACCATATTTTAGGAATGAGCATGCTTGAAAAGATGTTATCTTCGAATGTCTTTATGAAAAGATCAGCGACTATTCGGGAGACTGGTGAAACCATAGCAACACCATTTGTCTGTCTATTTGTCTGTCCCTTTAAATGTAAAATAGTTACTTTATAGACAGAATTTTAAGCTCTTAATTATTTCACTGGTGTCCAGTGGACATCTGTGTGATAGCTCTGTATCTGATTCTAGTAAACTGGAAATGATATCAAGACTTTCGGTAGTAGGGATACTAGTATATAATGAGTTAATATCATAGCTTACCATAATGTCTTCTTTATCAATTTTGTCAGAAAAGTATACACTACAAATGTATGCTAAGATCAGGCAATCTTTCATCCTAGAGTAAATTTATTTGATAAATTCACACAGTGTAACAGTATAATTTGGAACAACACATATAAGCGGACAATATTGTGCTTTCAATTAGATCTCATCAGGCTTAACTCTAATATACATAGATTTATGTATAAAAATTTTAACCAATGACTGTGATTTTGTGGATCAATACTTGAAACTGTGGTAAATGTTTTGAACGTCATTAATAACGATGACTATAATGATAATAAGGTTTATGCAAGTGGCGATAAGAATAACGAAGGAAGTAATATGTGTATATGTAGACAATTCAATAAATAAATTAGGTCAAATCTTAAAAGTTATGTTATCCTAAAGGTGAAGTGGACAGATAGTCAGAGTTCAAATAAATATCATAAAAGTACGAAGGAAATGGGAAACAAGAAAGGGTGGGAGGGGTTTTGATTAGAATTCACCTGGACCAATGGAGAGACAAAGGTAGAACAAACTTCTTTTGTTGTATGCAAAGAGTACGATTGTTCTCTCGAATCTCTCCACATTGCTTCGGCTATGTGTAAAAGGAGGGTCCGAATTCCTTTAGAAAGGCTCGATGAAATGCGATAGATAACTTTGAAGGCACTGCTTCTGTCCACTTGGTGACCGCTATCAATCAAATAAGTCAAAATAGAACTTCTTATAGATTTTATTTGGCCTTTTCCGAACCATGAAGGAAGATGCTCATTAATAAGTTTGTTGGGCTGTCTAGTTGTTCGCTGTATATGGCTTTCTCCACAAGAGTAACTAAATTTGTAGATATACATAGAAGTGTCACAGCTAGGTAGCTTGTCTTTCGCTTGAGTAATCATAATTGGTCGGTTGGAAAATGACAAACAAAGGGTGGCGGCAGTATAAGTCCGTTTTATTACTTTAGATAATCTTAGATGTAAGACTTCACTAGCCACATCCTTATTAAATTGCAATTTTTGGAACAGTTGTTTCTTTTTAACTGTTGTCAGTTTCTTTTTATTATACCTGGTGTTCATGTGTCTCCTTACAAATCTACTAGGATAACTCATTTGGACCAGAGTATTTTGGATGTATCCTAACTCATTTTCTAGGGAGTCATCTGTACAGATCCGTCTTGCTCTATTTGTTAGGCATCTGACCAAATTGATTTTGTATCGGATTGGTACGAAAAAAATTCAACATAAACCAATAACAGTGATTTTTTAGTAAGTAGATAAGACTGTGCAGATAAATTGTGCAATTAGTCGTAGTAGTAATAATGATAATAATAATAGTGAAGGAGGTATCAGGAATAAGGATGAAAAAGTGAGGCTATATGTGATAAAAAGAATAAGGAAAAGCAACATTATTAAACAAACAAATGTTCAGGTAGACGTAGTAGTCGATAAAACTAGGAAAAACTAATGAACCGATCAAGTAATGCCAGATAGTAAGGGGAGTAAATAAAAATACGCACCCACTGGGTTCGAACCCAGGACCTCCTGATTACAAGGCAAGCTCGTATACCATTTAGCCACTGAGACCCAGTCCAATGGCCAGCCCATGAATTCTAACTTCTACCAATTCGTGATTTAGCGCGACCCCAACCAATGTCATTAATGGGACATCCATCCACACACGTGACATCTAATTGGACCTCACTGGTCACGACTTCTCACTAAAACTCCAGGAAACTCCATCTTGTAGCAGGTCACTAGCGAGCATCAGATTAATTCTCTATAGTTTGGTTTATAAGGTTTATAAGGATGGATGTCCAATCGACGATATTGGTTGGGGTCGCGCTAAATCACGGATTGTTAGAATTAAGAATTCATGGAATGGCCATTGAATCGGGTCCCAGTAGGCAAATGGTATACGAGCTTGCCTTGTAACCGGAAGGTCCTGGGTTCGAACCATGGTGGTGGGTGCGTGCTACCGATGATTCTCAAACTAGTAGGATGAAACAGCTATCCAGTGCTCCCTGTGGCTGGTTTTCAATGTTTCTTTAACTGATATCAATCCGTGATCAACTCGTAAATATAAAATACGCTTTAACGAAGATGTGGTAAGATTAAGGGATGATACGAGAGGGGTTGAAAATATAAGTAAGAGGCGGTGGAGATTTCATCATTTGGTTAAGTTTTAATAGGCCAAGGGAGCAATAATGGCTGTAGGAACTTTTTTGAATGCATAGTTTAGGCTTAATAGTTCGAATGCCTATCGCCTCAGCTGTGTGCGTGCAGTAGACGAATACGAAGTCTATTGGAAAGGTCAAGTGGGATGCGGTGAATTACCTTGAAAGCTCTCGTTTTCTTTGCTAAATGACCACTATCAACTTAATGTGACAAAAGTGAGCTACGGATTGTTTTTGTCTGTCCTTTACCAAAACACGATGGGAAATGTTCACTAACACATTGGCTAAGCTATCTAGTAGTACGCCCAACATAACTGTCACCGCAGGTGCAGTTGAACTGATAAATGCACATAGATGTATATAATTTATGTATAATTTATTGATAATGTTTCGAGCACAATTTATGACTGCTCGTAATCATATCAGTTCATTTACACAGCTTCATAATCTCCTTTATATATATATATAAATCCCTAGTTGTTTTTTGCAATTTTCCACATCTCCGGTATAGGCGTTGAGTCAGTCCGATTGTACTTGTACAGTGTTGATTCAGTGAACAAAGACTCGGTGACTAAATTCTCTCTCCACCTAACTATATCACTTTTTGATTGAACACTGGTAACTAGTTTGACGTGTCTAGTCCTTTCTTTGGTGCAGACTGAATTCTGTCAGTCAGGTTTGCAATGTGGCCACCATTCTAGGTAGCTCGCCATCACGGTGCACATTGATTTGATGATATTAAATAGTTGGAGGCAATCAGCAGGAAGCCTTGGACCTAGGTTTCGTGCTAGTTGGCACTCACTAGTCAGCAAGGCGTATCTGACCTGTTCCACTCTGTTTTGCAAATGAATGCAATGCAGTGGCTAAGCTTTCTTCTGAGTTATTTAACTTAGCAGGGTCAATCACTCTATGTCTACCTAAATTCCTATGTTCCGGTAATCTGACTAACCCCGATCATCTACTAGTCTGACCTATGTAATTGACCTCGCTTTCAGTCATTACATGATATTGATTCTCTTAACTGGATCTATCAGGTCCTTAAGCCAACATTCTCATTCAAAAAACAGAATTATTTCATTCCTTCAGTCGTTATATTTAAAGCTTTAAGACGGTTGTGAAGTGCAGTTAAAAGTAAATATGTGATATATTCAAAGTTATATGCTCGCACCACTAAGTACAAAAATTCTACCAGACCTTATTTAGTCCCTATTTTATGTGATGGAGAGACTCACTGTTAGACGTGGAACATATAAGTTACTATGTAATTAGCATAGTGAATCAACCCTTTCATTGTTCATCTTTCTGTAATTTTATGGTGTCCCCCTTTCTATCGTTTTTATTATAACTTGGCTATTTTATTTTAGTTGTTATTACTATTATTACTACAATTTTATACTTTATGCATATTTTTCTCCGTATTGCTTACAGTAATTTGCTAAATAGCTGCTATAACAACGTTT